CGCATCCCATTTTGGTGGCCCCGTTGCCCGCTCGGAAGGGCTTCACGTTGACGCGGGACGACGACGTCATTGTCGAAAGTTCGCCTCTGACGCACTCGGACAATGTTGCGCTGATTTCTCCGTCGTTGACAACGCCATTTCCTGTCACGTACGAATCGCAACTGTTCACGCCCGTCATGCAGCTCAGTGGGCACACTTTTGACGAGCCCGTGTCTGGTCGTCTCGTCCAAGACGAGGAGCGGTCCAAGGGCCGCGTGTCGGGGAAGGTATTTGAAGGGTACATGCGCGCCGCCGGTGGTTGGGGTGTGTTTGCGTCGTGGATAGTGTACCTTGCGATCTGGCAAGGGCTGACCGTGGCTGGCGACATGTGGCTGAGTCAATGGAGCGGCACAGCGACCGTCGAGACTGACGCAGCATTCCTCGACCAGTCGGGGTACAACTTGGCCGTGTACGCGAGTTTGTCGGTTGGGGCCGTCGCGATGACGGTGTTCCGAACGCTCTCCATCTACGCGTCCGGGATCCGCGCCTCCCGCACCATGTTTGACCAAATGACGTCGTCGCTGCTGCGCGCCCCGATGCAGTTCTTCGACACGAACCCTCTCGGCCGCGTCTTGAACCGATATAGCAACGACATGAACACCGTCGACATGGGGCTTCCGTTCGGGTTGTCGGGGCTCTCAGCGACAACCTTTATCACGCTCTTTTCGCTCGGCACGATGATTTACGTGATTCAGTACATGGGCGTCTTCCTCGTCCCGCTGCTGTACGCGTACGCGTCGATCGGTCGGTACTATGTCCAGCCGGCGCGCGAAATGGAGCGCGTGAATAAAACGACCAAGTCGCCGCTGCTCAACTTGATCTCAGAGTCGATTGAAGGCGTGTTGGTCATCCGCGCGTTCGGCGCCAAGCAAATGCGCCGGTTCCAACGCCTCCACTACCGCAACGTCGACACAAACAACGAAGCCGCGTTTGCGTCGCAGGTGCTCTCGATGTGGTTTTCGCTGCGCATGCAGCTCACCAGCGCGTTTGTGCTGCTCGTTGTTGCCGTGGCTCTTGTCGTGATGCGAGACTACTTGAGCGCCGGGCTCATCGGCCTAGCCCTCAACTACGTCTTCACCGTGCT